CCCACATGGGCACCCCCCCTTCCCCCTCTTGCGGAGAGAACCTGACAATGCTGACATTGACCAACAACACCCCTGTCTCCCACCCGGGACAGCCTTTCACTACCCCCCCAGTGATAGAGAAAAAGACACTCATCTTCACAGCTCCCCAAGAACGAAAGTCAGGCTCTACATACACCATCAATCAGCCTGCAGCCTCTCTCAGATCCCACCTGGTTCCCATGGCAAAGCGTGTCCCTTCTTTCCTCCCTTCTTCTGGGGGAAGGTGCTGCCCCCCTGAAAGCTGCTGCCCTAGGCAAGTGCCTTGTTTGCCTTGTGATAAATACGCCCCTGATCCTACCAGTCCTACATGTAAACCTTTCCAATTGGATTTGAAATTTTGGCTGTAGCTTGTTTTGTTTAAGTGAGGAGAAGGCCAATTTGGGGTTTGTCTTTTTAATCTGTTACCTCTACAGGACAGCTAGTATTAGGTGTGCTACAGAACATTGCCTCTATTTTTTTTTTCAACTGTCACTCAAAAAATGGAAACAGCACTGACACGGTTTAGCCTGCAGTTTCCTGCCAGTGAAATTCTTACCTCCTTCCTGCAGTGCTTCTGCTGAACCTGGGTTTTTAGTCACCTATGTTCACCTATGGATGTTGCCTGCTCTACTGTGTGTTTATATCCCTTTCCCTTCTATCACCTCTTGGCCCACCTCCCAGGCTGCTTCCCCGTATAAGACATGCTTAGAGCAGCCCGCGCTTCCTGAGCAACTTCCCAGTTTCTCTGAGCTATTGGTTGGCCGTGCATTATTTGTATTACCAACCCCAGCTTCGTGTACCGTTTTTACTTGCCCCCCACCCTGACCTTGGCTCGATCCTCTTCCATCTCCTGCTCTCTGTACTCTGCACACGCAAGTGGTCTCTGCATCATCGGCTGGGTGTACCTGGGGGCCATGACCTAGTTCCAGCTTGCTGCAAGTCCATCCCCACCAACAGGGGCCTTGGTGAAGAGGCAGGCTGGGACTCAGCACCCTGGGGAACCCCAAGTTGGCATTCTACAAGGTCTCACTACCATACCTGACAACTCCTTCAACCTGAGTCTTTATTTTGTGCATATTTGGCAGATTGACAGATGTATAAGAGGCATAATGAGCAGACCCTACTCACTAGAGCCCTGACAAATACTCAAGGACATAGGGCATTTGTTATACTTGCCTTTTTTCCCTACAATGCAATGTTGGGTTTCAGAGCAGCCATTCACCAGGCCTGAGGGCTGTCACAGGGAAGCAGAAGAGCTTGCTGCTCTGTGCGAGTTTTGGTGTTCATAAAGTTGACAGCTGCACAAGAATTTTTGTTCTTACTTGCAGAATGTGATGCTGTTCAGGCAAGTATAGGTAGAATTTAAAAAATGGCAAGGCAAAACACTGGCACCTCGTGAGGTACCTAATTTGATGAAGGGATGTGGCCCTGAAACTGACCAGTTTTTGCATTGAGTAACAAAGGGGCATGCTAGAAAGATTAGCTGATCTGCTTTTGCTCCTTTCCCCTTGGAAGACTGTTTGGACCGAACAAAGGGGTTCCTCTCCAATGCTGGCTATAGGAGGGTCTTACCCAGGGATCTATCCAGCTATATTTATCAAGCACTGCTGCCTCCATCAGACTTTTCAGCATTCAAGACTTCTGGGAGTGTTTGATGCCTATGCCTCACCATGAGCTGTGGTTCCATCCTTCAGCCCTTATGTCACTGCTGTGTGCTATAGTAGGGTAGGGGTCGGAGGATGAACCCCCATGTGTGGAAGGGGACACAGTCAACCGATACTCCTGGATGTCTCAAAAACTGAAGAGACTGAAGAAGGCTGCAGTGCTAGAACGTAGTGAAGATAGGAAACTTAGGCTGCGAGAGATGTGAGCATTTTTCAATTTAAGGTGGCCTCTATTTGGAATTTATTAAGCAAATGACTAGGTTGCACTTAGGTAAGCATCTAGCTGTCAAGGGTCACAGTTTGGTCCAGGTGGGTCAGGTTCTTTTTAGACATACAATATATTGATATTCCACTTTGATTACATGTAGATCAGTGGGGAAATCAAGCTCTCCTTTGCTCTCTTCCATATGGAAGCCAATGATTGAACATGACTTTGTCAATGCTGTGGTTGCTATAGTAACTAATTAGTAGCAAGCATGTTGATTTAGATGGGGTTAGCTGTCAAGGTTCCTTGATGTACCTGAAGGCTTGTTCATGTGACTGCTTCCGTGACTTGTTTCAGGTTGTAGGATATTCATTTGGCTGGAAAAATGGTGCTCTCTTGGGGGTATTTAAAGCAACCCTTTCCAATGTTACCAGAAACCTCTGGCAAGTATGAATTATTCAGTGTTTCTGATGCATAAACACCAAACAAAAACTCTTGCCCGGTCCCCAGAGAGCCAGTTGTTTCATCGGTAAGTGATGCAATTTGGCCTCTCAGAAAGTGAAGCCAGGCTGTCAATCACAGCCCACAATCTAAAGGCCCCTTGAGTCTCCTCGGAAAGCCATGTGTCCTTGCCCTCTGCACACATCAGTGGCCAAATAGCGATCCCACATACTCATGTGCTTAGGGATGGATTAGGACCACATCACGAATGTAGTGGAATGTGCACACCTTGCTGCCCTCAATAGATCGGGGAAGTCCAAATGTACCGAATGGAGAAAAAAAACAAACAGAGGGCGCACCGGCCTAGTGCATCACCTTAAAAAATGTATTTCATAAGTGATAAAAGTAGGTATTGTACTCACAAAATGACAATACAGTCAACGGCACATCATGAAAGAACAACTCTGTCCAATCCACACTGTGGTTTATTTACTAAAGCTGGAGAGTCCAAAATCAGACTCCCTTCTGCATAGAAACCAATCAGCTTCCAGGTTTCATTGCCAAAGCTTCATTGAACAAGCTGAGGTTAGAAGCTGATTGGTTTCTATGCAGAAGGGAGTCTGATTTTGGACTCTCCAGCTTTAGTAAATAAACCCCTATGTGTCTGTCAGCAATGGGGCCTGTGGACTTCCAACAGGCTAACGCGTTTTGAGGACTTTCCTCTTCCTCAGAGCTCTGTGGACTTCCAACAGGCTAATGTGTTTCGAGGACTTTCCTCTTCCTCAGAGCTCTGTGGACTTCCAACAGGCTAACGCGTTTTGAGGACTTTCCTCTTCCTCAGAGCTCTGTGGACTTCCAACTGGCTAATGCGTTTCGTGGACTTTCCTCTTCCTCAGAGCTCTGTGGACTTCCAACAGGCTAATGCATTCGAGGACTTTCTTCTTCCTCAGAGCTCTGTGGACTTCCAACAGGCTAACATGTTTTCGAGGACTTTCCTCTTCCTCAGAGCTATGTGGACTTCCAACAGGCTAATGCATTTGAAGACTTTCCTCTTCCTCAGAGCTCTGTGGACTTCCAACAGGCTAATGCATTCGAGGACTTTCCTCTTCCTCAGAGCTCTGTGGACTTCCAACAGGCTAACACATTTTCGAGGACTTTCCTCTTCCTCAGAACTATGTGGACTTCCAACAGGCTAATGCATTCGAAGACTTTCCTCTTCCTCAGAGCTCTGTGGACTTCCAACAGTCTAACGTGTTTTGAGGACTTTCCTCTTCCTCAGAGCTCTGTGAACTTCCAACAGGCTAACACGTTTTCGAGGACTTTCCTCTTCCTCAGAGCTATGTGGACGTCCAACAGGCTAACGCATTCGAGGACTTTCCTCTTCCTCAGAGCTCTGTGGACTTCCAACAGGCTAACGCATTCGAGGACTTTCCTCTTCCTCAGAGCTCTGTGGACTTCCAACAGGCTAACACGTTTTCGAGGACTTTCCTCTTCCTCAGAGCTATGTGGACGTCCAACAGGCTAACGCATTCGAGGACTTTCCTCTTCCTCAGAGCTCTGTGGACTTCCAACAGGCTAACGCATTCGAGGACTTTCCTCTTCCTCAGAGCTCTGTGGACTTCCAACAGGCTAACGCTTTTTGAAGACTTTCCTCTTCCTCAGAGCTCTGTGGACTTCCAACAGGCTAATGCTTTTTGAAGACTTTCCTCTTCCTCAGAGCTCATCCCTTTAAAACTGAACGCATGTTAGTTATACAGGTTCTGAGGCTAATTTAGCGCAGATCAGGCACTAAGTGATTTTAATTACTACCTTAATCAGCCACAGAATCTGTGTAGTTAATATGTGTTTGGTTTTGAGTCCTCACGCACACGGGACGTTTTGATAACGCTGGTAACGTTAGCTGTGTAAAGTCACGTTAAGTTTTTCAGCTTCTTTTAGCGTTTTTGCATTAGCGTTTTGCTGCATTTAATGGTGTTTTCCAGCATTTTTTTCCGCTTTTGCAGCTGTTTTTTTTGGTAAAAAAAGTCAAAAAACGCCGGTTTGCGGCGTTTTACCGCGTTTTTACAGCTAAAAAACTCCTATAGAAACCCACTAGTTTTGGGGGGTTTTTTTCCAGCCAAAAAATGTTCCTGCCAAAAAACGTTGATTACAGTGTGTGTGCATGGACACATAGGATAACATGCTGGGGGGTTTATTGACTGCAGTAAAAAAATGTAAAACGCCAAAAATATGAGCTGTAAAAACGTTAAGTGTGCATGAGGGCTAAAACTGGACACATATTAATGACACAGGTTCTGAGGCTGATTTAACGCAGATCAAGCACTAAGTGATTTTAATCACCACCTTAATCACCCCAGAACCTGTGTCATTAATATGTGTTTGGTTTTTAGTCCTCATGCAAACAGGACATTTTGATAACGCTGGTAACATTAGCTGTGTAATGTCACGTTAAAAAAGTGAGTTTTTTCAGCTTTTTTTTACCATTAGCGTTTTGCCACGTTTCCCACGTTTTTACGCGTTTTTTAGCTTTTTTAACCAATAAAAAATATTTTTGGGTCAAAAAAAGTCCAGAAATGCTGGTTTGTGGCGTTTTAATGCCAACAGCATTAGAGCGTTTTTTACAGCTAAAAAAACTCCTCTAGAAACCCACTAGTCCTGCGTTTTTTTTCCAGCCAAAAAACATTGATTACAGTCAGGGGCAGACTGACAACTCATGGGGCCCCCGGGCAATAGGGGATCATGGGGCCCCTGTGTCCTTGCCCAAACTCAAAAAAAGCCTATGAAAAAGGTTCCAGGGGCATCTCATAGGGCCCCTACTGACCCCGGGCCCTCGGGCAGTGCCCGAGTTTCCAAATGGTCAGTCCGCCCCTGATTGCAGTCTATATGTGTATGGACACATGGATAACATGCTGGGGGGTTTACTGGCTGTAGAAAAAAAGTCAAACGCTAAAAACAGCCGCTGTAAAAACGTCCCGTGTGCATGAGGACTAAAACTGAACGCATATTAATTACACAGGTTCTGGGGCTAATTTAGCGCAGATAAGGCACTGAGTGATTTTAATTACCACCTTAATCAGCCACAGAACCCGTGTCATTAATATGTGTTTGCTTTTAAAGGGATGAGGTGGCAACCCAAGTATGGGGAAGCATGCAAGCCTTTTTCCTCCTTCACCCCCGGTTCACACCTCTGCGGTCGTGTGAGCCGCATTTTGCAGGGGCATGAGAGCCCATTCATTTGAATGGACTCCCGTGCCCGTGACACGCAGGGAAAGAAGTCCCTGCGCTTCTTCCGAAAATGCAGCCCGCACGGGAACCTCGGTTCCCAGTACGGTTGTGTTTTCCAGTGTTGGCGGTGTGCCATTAGAAGTAATATTTATTTATTTCAGGTGCTTATATAGCGCCGTCAATTTACACGGCGCTTTACACATATATATATATATATTGTACATTCCAGGGACAGACTGACCATTTGGAAACTCAGGCACTGAATGAGGGCCCGGGGTCCGTAGGGGGCCCCATGAGATGTCCCTGGTACCTTTTTCATAGGCTTTTTTGAGTTTGGGCAAGGACACAGGGGCCCCATTATCCCCTATTGCCCAGGGGCCCCATGAGTTGTCAGTCTGCCCCTGATGTATATATACTGTATTTACATCAGTCCCTAACCCTCAAGGGGCATACAATCTAAGGTCCCTAACTCACATTCATACATACACATACTAGGGCCAATTTAGACAGGAGCCAATTCACCTAGCAGCATGTCTTTGGAGTGTTGGAGGAAACCTGAGTACCCGGAGGAAACCCACACAGGCACAGGGAGAACATGCAAACTCCAGGCAGGTGGTGCCATGGCTGGGATTTGAACCAACGACCCTAGTACTGCCAGGTGGAAGTGCTAACCATTTAGCCCGCGGGTCCGCAATTCTCTGTGCGGGTGGTGCGGCTGCACGGATTTTCATGCGGCTCCGCAGCGGCACCACCTGCACAGATGTGAACCTTGGGCCACACAAGGCAGTGCATGGTGCTTGAGCGGCCAATTTCCATGCCTAAGCACTGTCACTTGGGGTGGGAAGAAGGTCCAAAACTTTATAGGTAGACCAAAACTAAGAATATACATGGTTTTCTACCCAGGGTTCTGGAAGTTGAATGGGCTTCTGGGATTAGAAAAGCTGTTTCTTCGCCCTGGCTGACAGGTCCACTTTACCCTCTCACATATATAGATGATTGAGCTTCCCAGATACAGCTCAACCAAAAAAAAAAAAGTACGAGATATTCCAGAAGCTCCAGAGTTCTACCAGCAGAAAAGCGGTTAATGTGGTCTGTCAGCATGTTCCCGCAGAGAAGGGATTATCACACAGAGCCTCTGTCATAACTCCACAAGCTTTCTCTTTTTGACAGCTGTATTGTTCAACACCTACGGCACAGCGACACGGCACGCGTTAAATGCGGCTCACCTCCCCAACGACATCCAGCGAGTAATTAGCAGCTCTCAGCTCAGCTGTCAGAAACTCACCACTACAGGAGAGGAAACTTGAAGCGACTTCTCTATTGTTCCAGAAGCTGAGGGCAAACCATTGCCCGCCACGGCTCAGTGCGCAGAATCGAGTTATTATTATACAGGATTTATACCTTAGATTGTACGCTCCTTGAGGGTTGGGGACTGATGTGAATGTACAATATATATGTAAAGCCATTTATAACTCTGCCCCAAATTACATCACCAATCTTGTCTCCAAATATCACTCAAACCGTACTCTCTGCTCCTCCCACGACCTCCTGCTTTCTAGCTCCCTTGTCTCCTCCTCCCATGCTCGTCTCCAGGACTTCTCCAGAGCTCCCCTCATGTTCTGGAACTCTCTACCCCAATTTATCAGACTATCGCCTACTCTGCTCACTTTCAGGTGATCTCTGAATACCGATCTCTTCAGGGAAACCTATCCTGCCCTCAGCTAATAATGGAATCTTCTACTCTTCCAACCAGTCCATCCCCCACAGTTACTACCTTTTGTACCACTAGCCCCTCCCTCTTAGATTGTAAGCTCCAAGGAGCAGGGCCCTCCTAACCCTCTTGTATTGAACTGTATCGTTGCTGTATTGGCTCCTGACCATTTGGAAACTCGGGCACTGCCCAAGGGCCCAGGGTCAGTAGGGGGCCCATGAGATGCCCCTGGTACCTTTTTCATAGGCTTTTTTGAGTTTGGGCAAGGACACAGGGGCCCCCATGATCCCCTATTGCCCGGGGGCCCCATGAGTTGTCAGTCCGCCCCTGGTCTCCCGTTATATTGTAAAACGCTGAGCAAACTGTTGGCGCTATATAAATCCTGTATAATAATAATAAAGCCATGCGTAAATTGATGGCGCTATAGAAGTACCTGTAATAAATTTATATAGCGCCAACAGTTTGCGCAGCGCTGTACAAAATGAAGGTAGACATTACAGTTACAATACAATTTGGTACAAGAGGAAACAGAGGGCCCGGCTCGTTAGAGCTTACAATCTAGGAGGAAGGGTTGAGTGATACAAAAGGTAATAGTTGTGAGGGGGATGAGCTGATGGAGGAAATAAATGGCGGTTTACTAGGCAGAAGCAGGATAGACTTCTTTAAAGAGAAAGGTTTTCAGGGATCGTCTAAAGGTGGATAGATTAGGAGATAGCCAGACAGATTGGGGTGGGGAGTACCATAGGATTAGAGAAGCTTGGGAGAAGTCTTGGAGGCGAGCATGGGAGGAGGTGACACTGGAACTGGAGATCAGAAGTTCTAGTATATTGATGGCAAGAATGTTTGAAATATCCAGCCTTCAGAGAAAGACATGATTGGAAATCCCCGCTGGGGAGTATAGAAAGCATGGCCTGATTTTATTCACCTGGATTTAAAAAGAGCAATGTGTAAATTGAGTTACGTACAGCAGCCATTAACCCTTTCCCGACTGCCCTGGCAACCCTTAAAAAAAAGTTCTGGATACTGAGTAAGATTGGCCGATCGTGTGACCACTGTGATTGGCTGTCATAGTGGCCTCATGATTGGAATCCAGTCCCGCTGACTACCGATCATTAGTGGAGACCAAGAACTGTATTGCGCAGCTCGGTCTTTGTACTGGGAGTGCGCATTGAGCATTCTCAGCACAGAAACACCAGCTGCCCAGGGATGCATATGTGGGCATTAGGCTAGGTTCACATCTGTGCGGGTGGTGCTGCTGTGGATCCGCACGAAAATCTGTGCAGCCGCACCACCCGCACAGAGGAATGCAGACCCACAGGCGGGTGCCATTAGTTCTATAGGCACGCCGCCCGCACTGGAAAATGCAACTGTACCGAGGTTCCTGTGCAGGCTGCGTTTTCAGAAGACGTGCAGGGACTTCTTCCCTGCATGTCCCAGGGCACAGGAGTCCATTCAAATGAATGGGCTCTAGTACCCACGCAAAACGCGGCCCGCACGGCCGCATATATGTGAACCGGGGGTTAATGTCTACCCTTTTTCGGCTGCACATGTGTGTTGCATGGGCAGCAAGAGGTTAAGAAATCTTTCATGGTTTCTTCTGCTGTAATATGAACTAAGGTGCAATCTAATATTTTACTGTGCAAGAACTGCTCTTTCCATTGCCTTTTATATACAGCTCTGTAATCATTAATGTAACCATTAAGGCTCCATGCACACTGGCTTAAAAAATCCCAGTGCTCTTGGCAGGAAAAAAACGCAAATTTTTGAGCAATATTTGTACTAGTTTTACGAGCATTTAGCTTTTTTTTCCTGCTAGAAAACTGCTCTCAAAAACACAAAACAACATTTTTTTTCTGCCTCTAATTGCTGAGATTAAAAAAAATACCCTTAAGCTAGCCATTATCGGCCAATTAACGGAAAATCGGTCTTTGCCGTTGCCGATGCTGCCACCAATGTCTACGAAAAACGGCCTTTTTTGTGGATTTTCCAGCATGACCGATAAAAAGAAACGAGAAGATCCACGAAAAACGGACGACGGCATTGTCCCACTAACGGCGTGAATATCGTCCGATTTTTCGTGCAGACGAAAATTCGGCGGATAAAAGACCCATCTGTGTCTTGCATACCTACCTAATGTGCATGGACACATAGAACAACATTAGTGGCTTCTACAGGCAAAACGCTAAACTCCTCTAGGAGCACCAGTGTGTATGGGTCCTTAACTGCTTCCCGACCGCCCTATAGCAGAAATACTGCAACTGGGCGGCATGGGTGCGCAAAATCATATGTATATATATATATATATATATACACGTGATTTTGCATTTTCGGGTAGGGGGCGCACACGGCCTACCCGTGCCACCATTCGCGGACGCGGCTGTCAATCACCGGGTCCCGGACAGTGATTACTTGCGGGCACCGGTGATTGCCAGGGATCTCTGACAGGGAGGAGAACTGTTTGTAAACAAAAAAGTTCTCCTCCCTGTCAGCTTGTGCACACTGCTTTGCATGGCTGTGCACAACACAGTGAAGTGAAGCACAAACACACAGCCCACTAGTAAAACACACCCAGCACACAGTTAACCCTTTGATCACTCCTCATGTTAACCCCTTCCTGCTCAGTGCCATTAGTACAGTGTCAGTGTTTTTTTTTTTTTTTCTAGCACTGATCACTGTATTGGCGTCACTGGGGATGTCAGTGACACCAAGTCAGTTCCTCCCAGTGTCGGAATCCTCGCCGCAGTCCCGGGTATAAGTATCACCGCCGTTACTAGTAAAAATAAAAATAACAAAAAAAAATTTCCTGTATATATACCGCCATTTGTAAACGCTATAACTTTCACGTAAACCAATTAATTTACACTTATTGAGATTTTTTTTTTAGCAAAGACATGGAGCAGAACACATTTTGGCCTAAATTTATGATGAAATTAGATTTTTTTAAAT